GTAACTTTCATCTCAACTAATAGTTTACAGAACTTAACTTTTAAACCTGTATCAGTATCTGCGTTAGGGCAGCACAAAACCTTCAGCTTTAACTGAAGTCCTCCCATGACTTGTGTAATGTTCACATAATTAACCATTAGCCTCACTCATTCCCCTGAGCCAAAAAGCTTTCCCTCCACTCCAGTGACAAGGTCCAAGTTCAAAATGGGGGCAGGGAAGGACACATGTTTACACATGTCCAAAATATGATAAAAAAAGCTCTAAGCAAATTTCTGATGTGTAAAAAGCACTTAGCAATTAGCTCAACTGAATCAACTCTCTGAGGCCTATACAGTTCTTGAAACATTCCTATACAAATGCCTAAGACAACTCAAATACAAGATGTGGGTGGCCAGGCACCTTGCAAATTTTGGCACTATCACCAAGTCTATCTCAGTGAACAGCATTTCAGAACAAAAGCAGTGAACTGTAGGACTGAGGGTGTACACTGTCCACTTTCCATCTCTCAAGGATTGCCTTTTCAGTATCACTGAATCAGATCCTTTAATAAAGCACCATTGCAGCACAAAGCCCAACACAACAATCTTAGCTAAGTTCCAAGGCAGATGTTGCCTGGGTTGCAGGTACTACACAGGCAAGGCAAAAGGTGCTCTCCCACTCCTCAGTGGAAAGGCAGAGCAAAGTTCACAGAAGCAAAATCCATTGCTCCTCACAGAGCCACACCAGACAACACTCATTTACCTGATTGGCTGCACCATCCCCATACAATGTCAGACAGATTTCATTTTTACCGAAGTATTTACAGGCCAGTGCAATCCCAGCTCCAAGAGGAACCTGTCACAGAGTACAGGACAAACCAAATTTTAGAACAACATTAGGAGGAGTTGAAGGTAGGCAGCTTGTGAACTGAAAGGAGACGTTTATGCTGATTGAGATCTGCTCAATAAACAAGTTATTACCTACTCACTTCCACTTGTTCCAATTTGTATTGCAGCCAAAATATAAACATTAACTATTTTCTCAATTTGATTCATTTTCGCTACAGTTTCTAAACCAGTGAGCAAACCAGAATAAAGGTTTAACAGCCACAGAGCAATGTTTCTGCATACAAGCTCAGACCACAAAAACTGAGAAGAAGCCCAGGCACAGGTCACAAGCCAAATTCAACTTGTGCTTTAAAATAGAAGTCATGTATGTACCTGAGCACCAACAATACCATTGCCACCATAAAAGTTTTTGGTATACATATGCATTGATCCTCCTTTTCCCTTCACACATCCTCCTTTTCGACCTGAAACACAAATAACAATTTATTTTTTCAGGGGAAAAATACCATGCAAATAGGAACAGCTAAATCAATTCCCACAGGTACTAACACTGAGACCATGCCATTGTCATTACATCTCTGTGGAGTTAAGACACAATGGCCTCTCATAGGAGTTCAGTTAAATATCTCAAAAAACAAGTAAGAGAGGGGAAAGAGAAAAATTATGAAAACATAATTCAGGAAATACAGAATGAGATTAAGAAGAAATTTTAAAACCAGCAAGTTTCAGTGTCCCACCATACAAAAGTACTTTCTGATCAATATGGGCTGGTTTTTAATGGACAACAGGATCTGTATTTCTCATATGTTTAATCTATAAGAAGTATATCCAGTCCTTATTACTTTTGGTGTCTGCAAGAAAAGTATGAACACTGTTCCAAATTAGCTGCAATGATCTATGCTGGTCATCCCTTTGACAATAACTACAAGTAAAAATCACAAACAGAACATTGAAAATAAAAAAACAACACCCAGCTCAGCTTTATTCAAGCTGTAGATTGAAGACAAGTGATCCATGAAGCACTACAACAAGTCCTATTCAAATGAGCCAATCCAAGAACACAGAATTTCTCCTCAGCTCACTCCACTTCTTATTCCCATCTGCCTTGTTACTAGCACAGATAACTGTATTTTATTTCTAATAAACACAGGTTGGGTTTGGTTGGGCTTTTTTGCATTAGCCTTGGTGTTTATTTTATAAGTGGATCTCTTTCTGAAATTTGTACTTCACTTTCTTACTTAATAGTGGATAATTTTTATTATTGGTCTTTCTCATGCCTTTCATATGTCTATGAATTGGTTCCATGTGAGCTGTCATAGATTCTGCCAACTAGGGCCAAAGGGAAAAAAAAAAAAATTCTAAGAAAAATATTTTCTGATTAAGCATAATTTAACTTTAGTATGCTCTCTCCACTTTTTGTACAATCCTTTCTTGTATTTCAGAAGAACTTCTGATTAGCCAATGTCACTTTTTGCTACACTTTCTAATTTTCTTAGAACAGAAACCCATTTCCCAGGTAATTGCCCATTCTCCTGGAAAGTCCTTTTCTATAGTTTGTTTCCTGTAGGATCTTATATACAAGTCTTATTTTGGGTGACTTTCCTTCAAAGACTTCTTAATTCTGTCATTTCCTGGTCATTGTAACTCAAGCTATCTTTCAGTTAGGCATTTTTAGTCAAGATCTTTGTTTGCAATTGTCATTTCTTGGAACAACAGCCTCTGTACTGTGGCTGTTCTTTCCCAATTAAAAGAACCACACCGAAGTGAAGCATGATACTATAAAAAATGTTGTGAAATGAAATAAATAAAAAAGCCCCATCACATTATCACTCCTATTTGTAGTTTCAGGAACAATAGTAGGCTTCAGTCAAGACAACCTCTCATTTACTTTGTCTTAGCAGTATCCAGTGACACTTGGCAAATCTTCATCCACTGGATTCTGGGCCTTTGTGCACATTATTAATATGTATTCTTAGCATACACATACATCCACAGTATACAAAACCAGACACCTTCTCTATCCCCAAAACATGCTTTCCTATATCAACATTTCAAGCATGCAAATTCTCAGATCAACTCTTCATTATACCAGTGATTCAGAAGGGCCTTCAAGCTCCTTGTTAATTTTTCCCTTCTGGCATCTTCACAGATCTCCTAAGAGTTCAGTGGGCTGACTCTCTCTCCTCTTCCCTGCTCCACCCTATTCTGAATAACCATCTCTCCTTTCTGCAAAATCTCTTTCAGATGATCCTCTAATATTCTTATAACAGTCAAATTTTCCCAAAACATTCAGTTTATCATTACAGGCAATGTTTACCAGTCTTCCCAAGACCTCAGCAGCACAATTCTGAAAATCTGTCTCCTAGGGAGAGTAATGCCCTGTCCCACTGAGAACAAATGCCTACCACCAGCAAGTTCCAAACTGCTGCAGCCCAACAAATATAGCATATGGTATCAAGAAAAATCTTACATACTTGTGCTTTAGAAGTATTAGCACTTAAATATTCCTTATGACTTACTTTTTATCGTTAAGAGATGTTGCATCCTAAAACGTTAATATTATTTTATTATTCTATGTCACTAAACTGCTTCTGAAGCCCCAGTGTGCTTCATGCATCACCATCATTTTGAACTTGAATACAAAATTCTGGCACAAGTACAGCAGTTTGTGAATCCTCATTTTACTTGGCACAAACCTGTAAGTTCAGCGAGAATTTCTCGAACGGGCACTCCTCGGGCATAGGTGAAGCCATGAGCTCTGTACGCTGTGATCACGTGGTCTGTGGGCTGGATGGCAGCTTCAATCCCTACACAGCAAGCCTCCTGTCACAGGGGAAAGGCAAGCTGAGCAATGAAGGAAAACACCCAACTTCTACAGCCAACAGTGTGGCAAGGGCTAGCTCTGATCTCGAATACATCAGGTATCAGCAGACATCAGGAAAAGCACAGATACAGCAGATTGCCTTAAATCCCAAGGGTCAGGACAGGCCTGGAGCTACAACAGCCTTGGGCTCTAAATTCCAACCTGGCTGACAACAAAAGCACATGGGAGGGGAAATAGAAGCTGCAAAAATCCAAAGACTTTTTCTACACTCATCTCCCAAATGAAGGATCTCAACAATTCAAAAACATCAGGGGATGACAGCAAAGCTTCATAAGTTAATGAAGTTCTTTCTCCTGCCTGTTGCTTTCTAGTGGGCACATGAGCCATGAGATGTGGAAACAAAAACCATCAATGAAGCTTGAGGAGGAAGATACAGGCCTTCAAATGTGCTGAACTTAATATGCTGCAGCTGCTCTTTCCTCACATTCAGCTGATCTTCAGCTGTACCTTGCCTTCTCTCTTGCTCTCTCTGTCGCTGTCTCTCTTCCTGTTCCTGTCCCAAGAGCTCAGGGATTCCTTTTTGTGCTAAGACACTGTTTTTCAAGAAGTAATGAACTAAATTATAGTTCCAGCTACAACTTCAGATCTTGTACACAGATAGTCAGTTCTACATTTATTCTCCACTCAATTAAAATCCCTACATTAAGTAAGGTAAGACAATATAAAACCTCCTGAAAAAGAAAATTCTTACCTGACCATCATATAAGTGGCAGAAGCCACGAATAATCTTCTGCTTGTAGAGCTGGTCAGACTTCAGCTCCATGCGCCGTATGGTCTGCATGGTCTTGTAGTAATGCAGCCCCTCGTCTCGTGTCATCACTGCCGTGGTGCCGGGGCCGTCTTCCAGCCGATGCAGGTCACACTTCTGCAACGTTCAACAAGCACTTATCTCCTCAAAGTAATTCATCCTATTTATGATAATTCCTTAACTTTTTTTGTGATGTGCCATTCTCAAATTCAGAGTGAAACACCCTTTTAAAAAGAAAAGCAGAAAAACCTACATTCATCAAAATCAGATCAAAATAACTGTAAGCTTTGAGCACTATTTCCACATTCAGGGAAATAAAACCTTAACTTTTAATAAAGACAAATTTCCAAAAATGAAGCCTTGTTATTCCTACTAGCAGTAGGTGAACTACAGTCCTCAGAAAATATGAAAAAAGCACACTTGCATGGTTGTTGCAGGCCAAATATTTGGTAGGTGCTACAGAGGCTTAATGAAGGGATAAGAAAGATTGAGAGCTTCCTTTGTGAAACAGTTTGTAAAAGCTGGCTCTAAGCTGGACTTCACCTCTGCTACCAACACTTCTAACAAGCAGTAATAAGCCACTGCTGCACCAGCCATGCTGCCAGTCAAATACCATGTGTGCAGAACAACTTCTTCCCCAAACCATGGACTCTGCTGAGGGAGAGCTCATTTTAGGCACCCATACAAAATAAATTAAGAAAATGAAAAATAATAGTATTTTTTTAAAAATCAAGTTCAGTGGAACAGACTAACAGTTTATATAAAACCAAAGGTCTCTCCAGAGCAAATGCACTGACTCCCAGATGAATTGGATATAGCACATGGGCACTCTACTCTAACACAGCTCCACTTAAAGGCCATATGACAACAGAAACTGGAGTCTTGTCATCAACACAGGATCAAACATTACACCTTGTATCTACTCAGAAAAGACTTTTCATATAAACATGTATTCCTTCCCTTCCACCTGTGAAATAATACTTTACAGGCACAGGCAAACAGATAATGGTAGAAGAACTAAATTATTTATTTCAGATCTTCTTTCATCAGTTCCTGAATGAAAAGCCAGCACAAGCTACTGCCAATGGAAGCATCAATTTTTCCTACAACCCAGTCACAGTGGAAAGGTGACATAACCTAATACACATTTTTTCAGCAGCACCAAGCCAGTCATTAAAAGGATGCCTAGTTTTTCCACCAAAATCCATATGAACTTCAATCAGCTGCACATCTAGGATACAGCACCCATGACTCCATAAACAAAAGAGACATGGAAAGAACAACAATCCCATGCAGTGCTCCAGGCTGGGGACAGAGTGGCTGGAGAGCACCAGGCAGAAAGGGACCTGGGAGTTTGGATAGATAAGACAGCTGAACAGGAGCCAGCTGTGTGCTCAGGTGGCCAAGGCGGCCAATGACATCCTGGCCTGGATCAGGAACAGCATGGTCAGCAGGACCAGGGAGGTGATTCTGCCCCTGGACTTGGTGCTGGTGAGGTCACACCTTGAGTACTGTGTGCAGTTCTGGGCCCCTCAGTTCAGGAAGGACATTGAGGTGCTGGAGCAGGTCCAGAGAAGATCAATGAGGCTGGTGAAGGGACTCAAGCACAAGTGCCATGAGGAGAGGCTGAGGGAGCTGGGGGTTGTTCAGCCTGGAGAAGAAGAGGCTCAGGGGAGACCTTATCACCCTCTGCAACTCCCTGACAGGAGGTTGTACTCCAGTGGGGGTTGGTCTCTTCTCCCAGACAACCAGCAGCAGGACAAGAGGGCACAGACTCAAGCTCTGCCAGGGGAGGGTTAGGTTGGATATTAGGAAGAGATTTTTTATAGAGAGAGTGATCAGACATTGGAATGTGCTGCCCAGGGAGGTGGTGGATTCACCATCCCTGGAGGTTTTCAAGCTGAGACTGGACGTGGCACTTAGTGCCATGGTCTAGTAACCATGGTAGGGTTGGACTTGATCTTGGAGGCCTTTTCCAACCCATTTGATTCTATGAAGGGTAGGCACCAAACATGAGCTATTTGTTTCAAAGGCACTAAGGAAACATTACTACTCTTCCCTCAGAACAGAAAAGTTTTTTAAGTTTTGTGTCTCCATTCTCACAGTTGCATTGCAGTATCACAGCTGCAAAGAATCACAACTCCACATTCTTAAGAAACAAGTAACTTTACTACACACTGCCAAGCACTGTACTTCCAGCTGCATTTGGAAGTCAGATCAGATAGCAGCAGTTTGCTTCTGGAAATTAAACCAGAACTTTTCTAATCGCAAAAGCTAAGGAGCAAAGTCCATCACTAAGGAGGGAAGTCCCAGGGAGGTGGTGGATTCACCATCCCTGGAGGTTTTCAAGATGAGACTGGATGTGGCACTTAGTGCCATGGTCCAGTAACCACGGTAGGGTTGGACTCGATGATCTTTGAGGTCTCTTCCAACCCAGTTTTGATTCTATGATTCTAGATTCTACATCAAGATGTGCAACAAATGCTTACACAGAGTGCCAGTACTGAGTGTTCAGATTCTTTACCTTAATCTCAAATGAAGCTTCACTTGCAAAGTCTGCATAGTTACGTGATGCTACCATCACTCGAGAGGCCTTAAAGAAAAGACAAAACCAAAACATGAGCAACATTTAAATATAATTATTAAGCAAATGTAGATGAACTTTCAAATAATTTCTCAGCGTGATCCCAAATTGAAATAACTTACGAATTAAACTCACCAGTGGCATATCCCTGAAAGACTAGAGGGCTTTTATTTCGTATGTGTTAACATCCTTGAAAACCCAGTATTTAGAATTAAGATTATAAAAAGAGAAAAGAATTTAAATTTGTAATACCCTCAATTATCTAAACCAAAACCAGTAAGTTTCAAAAGACTGTGAAGTGTCAAAACCACAAAACCAATTAATTACTTTTCCCTTCTCATGCCAGACTGCCTATACTAGCAGAGACAGCCAATGCAGATTTTGATGGCTCTCTGAGCTGACTGGGATTCTGCCTTGAGAAAACCCAAAAAATCTCACACCAAAACCCAACAAAACCCCACAAAATAAACAACACCCCCCCCAAAAGCTAAACAAAAAGAACCCAGCAGACTTCTGCAATATAAACTACTCTCACTCTTTCTTTTCAATAGAAAGAGAAATTGTGGGGATTCAAGCAAATAATGAGAGAGAGTAGCATTTCAGTATCATCACAGCAACTACTTACAAATGTTACAGAAACACAAAAGGTACCTGAGGATACATGAAACACAGAACAAAGGGTGGCATGGCAGGCAAAAGATAAGAAGGATGTTTAACAATACACTACTGTTCTGTCTTAAACAACAAGCACAGACTGTTGACTAATAAACAGTGGTACTGTTAGATGACTTTAGTAAGTTCCAGTGCAGCATCAGACAGGATGGGCAGGTGTCCATGCATGTGCTGTGGCCACAGCATAAGGAAGGTACAACCTCTTTAGAGGCAAAAGTGTATTGCCAATTGAGGTGCACAAAACTTTCAGTTGCTCATTCAGGCACGGAATTCACATTTAGCTGAAGGTACATTGTAACAAAATTTTGAGAATGTCCAGGTCACTGTCTCCAAAAAAATGGTCTTATTGACCAGTGTGAAGCTTGGGAGAAAATTCTCAATTCACCTTGGCTCCCTGCTGTATTGCATACTTGATGCAGCAGCCACAATCCCCTTCTCCTCACCTTGCTCCATTAGCAGATAAATATCTAGAGGTTTTAATTTAAACCAGGTTTCTACACTGTTTACCACAAAGCATTAGTGTTACTCGTGAAAAAACACTATTTTACTTCTAGAGCTGGAAGTAAATCAACAGTTTGGGATTCACAGGGTCACAGAATGGCTGGGGTGGGGAAGGACCTCTTTAGGCCCATCTGGTCAAACCCCCCTGGCCTGAACAAAACATAAAAGCAACACTGAGGAGTCTGTACCAAAGTTTTGCTATGTGGGCAGCACATACCAAAAGCAAACCTGGATAGGACTGATCCAGCCTTACCTCACTAACGGCTCCCTAGGTGAACAGCAGTTGGAAGGCAAAAAAAAAAAAAAAAAGGAAGAAACAAAGAGTAAGCAATTGTACCAAAGAATTAGGGGAGAATTCAGCAAATTATTAGTCAATTAACACTGCAAGTGGTAGTTTCCTTACAGGTAAGCTCTGTGTCATGGAAATCCATCTGTACACTCTGGAATATACTCGAAATATGTAAGAAAAACTGCTTTATGGATGAAGCCTACTTCTACTCATTTGGCAATTTATACTTTCACTAGATATACACAGGAACGATTCAAGACGACTATGTACATATATGGTATGCAAAAAAAATCTGCATTAAAAAAAAATCCAAAAATCTGTATTAAGATTTGCAAAATGGATCTAGTTTGGCATTCCAGGAAAATGCAGTATCTCAGGGGCAGGCCAAATACTTACAGTGAGGGGCTAATTTTAGGCACCCGTAGTTAAAAAATTTGGTGTTTTACTTGTGAATTAGGACATACTTTTAGGCATACAGCCCAAATACACACAGGAAGATGATGTGGTAAATGTCTCCCTGTGCCACTCCCACAAATCCAGTCATCTGGAAGCAGCCAATGCCCTCCAGAACCGGGCACAGCAACAGGTCTGCTGCCCACGGCAGGAAGGCACCAAAAAATACCCTTGTAACCCTGACCTTGACAACAACTCTACTTCACGAGGGTTTTTCCTCGTGGCCACAGTCACTACAGCGGAACGAGGAGGATGAAGCGGTACGAGTATGGTATTGCACAGGAAAGAGACGAAGCACAGCCAAGGACACACACACTGATGACACAGGAATGAGCAGCTCCGAGCGCGGGGCCCGGGCCGAGCCCTTTCTGCGCGCACAGCCCGAACTACGCGGAGCCTTTCGCCGCTGAGCGCCGACAGCGCCAGTGCGCTCGGAAACTTCGCACGGAAAGCCCAAACTAAGTTTTTT